AAAAAAGACAAAAACACTTCCTACAATTCCTGGGAACATTGCAGTTTTTTAGAAAATAGAGATATTAGTCATCACAAAGACTTTCTCCATCAGCTTAAAAAAAAATCTGTATAAACCAAACCTTGTCTCTCTGACACCTGGTGTCCTAGTTATATTCTTTTTGTCTACAAATCTAATGGGTATTTCTATATAATTACTTTTTATTAATGATAGTAATAACAGTAGCTGGTGTCTCTGGTGCCAAAAGGCTCCCAGCTGTGGGATTTCCTTCTGTAAAAAAAAATGAGATCTGTAAAGAAAAATCTCATTTTCCTGCTCAAAGTTGAGGCTGGATTTTAATTTTACATGCCAGGCCATGGCTGCATAACCCCAGCAATAAACCCAGGCAGGAAGCCTTGCCCTGATTTCAGCTTTGCTGCAAGGGGCGCTATTCTACTAGTGTGATTCTACTGCTTATTTTTGTTACTGCCAATTACAGTGGCTGCTGCACAGACTGACCTTATGAAATATGGTTATGGATTACTTGAAATCCTTACTGAATCTTGAACGACTCAGGAACCATGATTGTATCAGAAAATAATCTGTCAAAATCCCAAAATGCGGTATTTCCATAGGCAGTTATAGACAAAAAAGACTAGAAGGCACCTTCTGAAGCACTGAGCTGCCTACATTTGATTTAATGCAAATATTTACAGAAACTTAGATTCCGTAGGAGTTCAGTATAAAACCAGTTTACAAAGAAAATAGTTTTTTTAGGTGGAGACCCAGGACACATACACAGAAGGAAAATGGCAGTCCCGTATCAGAAGGGCACTGGTGGTGGACATGGAAGGCAGGAAACAACAGGCTATAATTTCCTCCTGTTTTTAATGTGCCTTGGTCTTCTTGCCATCTTCTTCCTCTATTTCTTGTCAGCTGATCATCAGCCAGAGCTGGCTCTGCTGCTCTGCCAGGTCTGTTGCCTTCTTCTGTGAGCATCCTGCTGGGGCCAGAGCTGTGACCAGCCATTAGCTCCCTGGTTCTCCCTGAGGCACCTTTAGACTGTGCTTAAAGAAAAACAAGTTTTCCCCATTACAACCAAAGCAAAACATTTGCCTTATTGGCAGACAATGGAAATAGTGTCTATTGATGTCAAAAAGATCAGGATTTCATTTCAAGAGTTAGGGAGAAGAATTCAGTAGAACATGTGAATGCTTGCTTCTGGGGCCTTGCTGTGCTGTGCTTAAAGTGGATGGCTCAGGCCACAGCCTTTGCCTCTTCTGCAGCCCCCCAGGAGCTGAGCCTCCCCTCTGATGCTGCACTTTCTGAGGAAATCTGCACATCTCTGGTTTTTAAAAGGAATGGCATTTAAAATGTTAAAATGCTTCGCCACATCTAACTTACAGATCCCAACTTCCTAATGTAGGATAATTTAGGCTGATGATGTCCTACAAAGAACTGAACCGATGGCAACAAAGGATAAGGTTAGGTTGATAGTATTCACATTTGGGCTTGAAATGCTTTCATCAGGTTGAATGTTAATTGAATTCCATTAGATTATTTCAGTCTGCAAAACAGAATCAAGCATAGCTTGAGAGCAGTTCAGATCTGTCAGGGCCACCTGCCTTGAGTACAGCTAAAATGACATTTGAAGTCACAACATGTTCAGTTGTGTGACCAGGTTATGCATTTCACACCATCTCCTGTGGGCCAGCACTCTCCCTGTTTAGGTGAGGAGACCAAGCAGGCAGGCTCCTGGGTGCAGGACAGTGCATGCAGATGTGTTCTCCCACTGCCACACTGTTTTGTTGTGGGTCACAGCGTGGTCTTCCCACACTCCTAGTTTCAACTTCCAGGACAGAAGATGGACATGAAGTGGCCACTACATCTTGCTTTGTGGTCAGAAATAAGACTTCTTGCAGCGTGTTGAGGTGCATGGCTTCATTTGGGGTTGGCAGTGAAATTGCTGAACCTCTGTTGTGCCATGTATGGGGCAGAACAAAGTTTTAGTTTGTCGTATAGATTTCAGCTAGAAGCAACGTTTGGCATGAAAGCTAGTGGATTTGATAGCAGGAGAACTATAACCCCAGTGAAAGCTTAAATGGATCCCACCCTTGACCAAACTGCAAAGTTTTGCCTCCCTTTAACCCCAGCATTACCTGCAAGTGTCCCTGAATGCTGTCCCTTTTCCATCCTGTAAATGAGAAAGGTCATTTCTGGCTCTTTCTCATTTAAAGTATATGTAAATCTGGGATACACAGCACATACACGATTGCAGGGCATAACCTGAAAGGTGATGAAAACCACCTCAAGCAACTACGCTTACCACAGGTCTGTGATCTCAGTAGTGATATGTTTTCACAGTCTCAGTAGATGGCACTAAAGATGACAAAAAACAGCCCGTAACTGTGTAGCAGAAATAAGTGGCAAGGCCCTGTGAGGGGAGGGCAAGGTCATTTCTGTAAGTGTGCAACTGCATTCTTGTTGTATTTGGCTGTAGCTTTGCATGTGTAGGTGAGCAGCAATGTGCCTATCAGTTAGGTATGCAAACCATAGTTGAGCAGGCAATGCGAAGGGAGGTTGAGAAAAAGGAAATGTAGGCAATTACACTGGAGGTTCTGGGCTTCAAAATCTTTTGAGAAGGCAACATGTGTTTGAGTTACAGTGCAAAGCTTCCTAGCTAAAGGCTCAGTTAGGGATCCTGGTCAGAGGACTTTGTGTCGGGAAAATATTCAAGATGCCACATCCTTGTGGGGTATTGCTGCTTCCAGGATCACCTGCTCAGGCTGATGGACAGGTACATTGGCCATGGCTTTCCTTCTCATCATGGCCTTTTCTTGTGGTGCCTAAAATAAACCCCCATGGGAAGAGCCTGTGGTCTGCCGGAGGCAATCTTGTGCCTGGCTGTAGCACAAGGGATGGAAAATGCCTTCATTCTTTGTGCCACCTTCTGGCTATCATACACATACAAACAGGTTTCTGATAGGGCTTGCCAAGTCAGATCTAACCCCCACAGTGTTCCTTGCTTCTAATCTCCAGGTGCATTGTTCTAAATTTAAACATGAAGATTTTAAATTCTGCTGCAGCTGTGGGACAAAATTAATGAATAATTGGATTACTGATAATATGTAAAATCTGCTCCTCTTACCTTGCTCCCTTCGTCTTCCCCCTATTTTTTTTCCTTCTAGATCCACTAATAGTTTATTAGTGATCCTTATCAGTCCCAAGTGTGGGCAGAGATGAGAGCACTTGTACAGGTAGTGAACAGCAGGGCACTGTTGAGAACCTTTCCCTGGATTTGTTATTTGTTTGTTTTAAATAACCTGTTTTCTTGCACATGCAGTTTGGTGCCCAGGTCTGTGATGCTGGACATCTGAAAACCTTGTTTTACAATGCAGTAGCTGTTCGAAATTTTCTTCCTGAAAACATTCATGTGTGTCCAATTCATCTTAATGGGTGATCAAAGTGCATGTGCTCAAGATGTGCTCTTCCGTGTTTGGGTAATTGTAGCAACCGTAATTTTTAAAGTGCTGTTGAACTTAAGGGTTACCTACCATATGAGGCATTAGAGCATTGTGAGCTAGGTTAGAGAGCTCTCACCATATGATTTCCATTGACACCTTGTTGCTTGTGGCTACCATTAATCATTGTCTGTATGGGAGATGAGACTGTGCAGTTTTAGGGAGCTAGACACAACAAAATGATATACTAGTCCAAAATAAAAGAATAATTATTTAAAGGTAAATACATTCCACTTAATAATAGAGACACAGAACATTTTCCAGGCACAAAAGAGTCCCTGCCTTGTCTGTAATCCTCTGTAGATGGAAGGACCTGATCATTTAAATCCCAATGCCAGGGATGTGGGACTGTGCCAAGGGTGGCTCCTGTGGCTCCTTGGTATCAGTAATGCATTTGTGGGGCTTGGAAGACTTGTCTGTAGAAATTGAGGGAAACCTTCCGTCTTCAGGGGTGCATTAAGGTCAGAAGGTAGAGGTAGCAGTGCTCAGGGAGGGTCTGGGGGATATGCCTGCATGTGTGGGAGGCCTCCTTTGAAAAATGCCCTCAGTCTACAAAACAGAACTAGAAGGCCAGGGTAGCTCAGTTTTTCTACTTTGAGGCTTTTTTTCCCTTTTATTTTGCCCAGGTTTAGAGCCTGATAGGAGCCTCTCAAGTGGGAAAAGTGCAGAATCTCAAAACAGAAGCATAAGAGTTTTTCTTGGGTATAAAATTTCAGTCAATAATGTGCTGCTGCCTTATTGACATGAAAAGAATGCCTTTCATGTGATACAAACATTTACTTGCTCCTGCTTACTCTACTCACCTTGTACAGAAATGCTGATTGCCATTGACTAATCAGTCCATTTTTGTATATTCTCATCAGACTCTTTCTTTGGCTGGAACAATATGCACTGTATGATGCTTGCATGTACAATAATCTGTTATTAGCACTTTGTATATGCCTTTGTTACTTCACAACTAACAGTTTGGCCTCTGAGTGCATGCATTTGTGTAAATGTGTTATAAAATAGTAGATTTATTTGTATCAATATAGGAGATGTGTAAGATATACATAAAGACACTAATAATTGCCATTTAGTCACTGGCAGAAGACGTTCAGATTGTATTTCTACAATTACTGTTTCTATTTAGGCTTCACAGTGCCATGTCTATCTTTTAGTTCCTTATTTATTCAATTGCAGATTTTGTTTGTTAATTTTATAATGATTAATTACAGTACCATATAAAACATTTTAAGAAACTGGTTTTGTTATGCAATACAATTCTAATACAAAGTAGGAAATTTGATTTTTTCTTCCAGTGCTCTTGAAAGCTATAAATACCCTTATTTGTATTATGAAATTATTAGACTACTGATCAAACAACTTTATCCCCCCAATATTGACCTAATAATAAGATATATACTTGGTTCTGAACCAAGCTTCAGAGTAATGGCAGTTGCTGTTGCAGTGCTAGGACCCGAAGACACCACATTTATTTTGTGTGTTTCAACATCTCAGGACACTGTCTCCTGCAAAGTCTCCATCTTCGTCCACTGGATCTATTGCTTCCAGCAGAAAATACCCTTACCCAATGCCACCTCTCCCTGACGAGGAGAAAAAAGCCAACAGGCAAAGTGCCAGGGTACGTGTCCCTCTTCTCTGTGCATTTTGTCAGTGACTTAACTTACTGGTAGTTTTTCAGAAAGAAAGTATGGCAGATCAGCATCTTTGACTGACAGTGAGAGCAGGAGTGGCATTTCTTTCTCACCTCTAACTCCAGAGGCTGCTGAAGGCTGAGCCTCTGGCAGTGATTAGGGCAGCCTCAGTGGCTGTATTTACAGATACCTGTTGAGGCTGCTGTTAAATGTGCCCTGAAGCCCAGATTTCACTAGTTTTGTTATTTCAAGCAGAGTGTGCCTGGGGCAGCCCTGGAGCAGGCGATGCTTCTGGCTCCCCTCCCTTACCCCTCCTGGGGGGGCTGATGCTGCCAGCAACTCTCATTCGAGCTGGGGGATAGCTACCTTCCGCCTTTATGGAAAGGTGTCAAAGTTCCAGTTAAGGAGGATTTGGACGGCTTGCATCAATCCATTGCAGACTTGGAGGGGCTTTGCTGCTTTTTGACCTTAGTCCACTATAGCTGCCCAGGGTGAGCAGAAACCACTGGAATATGCGGTGGATAGTGATGCTCCATACAGAGGGATTTCCAGTGGCTGCCAAAAGGCAGCACTAATTGTTGCTTCCTTTGTGTCAATTCAGATACAGCAGATACTTGAATAAGCAACTCCCCCCCTCTCCATCCCTGAAATTTACTTTAGGGCCTTTACTTGTGATAGCTTTAGTTCATGTTTCTGATGCAGACAAGATTCACATCACTGCTCTGTTTTTTTTGTAAAGAAAAATGGAGTCTGCCGGGGGAATCTGCAAGCTGCTACCCCCATTCCTGTTTTGGGCACTCTCTGAGAGTGGGAGATTCTCTCTACACTAATATTAGTTAGCGTAACTGTAGCGTAAAAGCTGTCTAGTAAAATTTGATGTTACAACGAGATTTTTCCTTCAAAATTTGTCCTCCCAGCTGTGGACATTTACTGTGCCAAATGTAAGTCATGCCGAAATGCTGAGATGACTTTGTGGTCTGAACAGATACCCACCAGAGGCTGGGAGCATAGCCTTGGTGACCCAAATGATGTAGATGCAGTTCCCCAAACAAGCTTCTCACAGTGTTTGGGTAAGAGCCTGGTTTATCTTGGTGTTCAGTGTGTGTTTGTATTCCTTTTCCCCCTCTCCAGCTATGGGAGACGTCCATTTAGCTGCACTGTTCTGGGGTGACATCAGAACTGTTTACTTCGAATTTTATAGAAACTCAGCATCACTGAGTCATTGCACATTCATCTGCTCTTCAGTCAATTCGAAAGATCAACAGAGATGCCTGTGATCACAGTGAGAACCTCCTCTCATCTGGAAGGGAAAAAAGCCGCTTTTTAATTTTTATTTCTTTCCTTTTTGTTGACTGGTATTTTATGGATTTGGTGAACAACCAAAATCAGAACAATTAACAGGGGATAATAGCCCAGATGTGACAAGGCTATTCCGCAGGATGACAGATCCGCTTACCTAGAATGCCAACTGCAGTCTGTGTGCCAGCCCTGCCTAAGAGAGACTTTTCTCTGGTTTATTTCAGTCCTGAGTCAGACCACGGTGGAGCCAGGAACCTCCTGGAGAGCCCAGCCGATGTAAACTTGTACGCTGTATGCATGAACCTTGTGTTCTTTACTTTCCACATGTAAGGGATAAACAACATACTGTAGTAGAAATTAGCATGCAGGAATAAGAAATAATAGGATTTTTTTGTGACAGGATTTCAAGCTTTGAAAGGCAACTATTTGACGCAAACGTCAAACAAACAAGGATTATATCTTTTTTTTTCTACTTTACATGTTTATAATCTCCGTATACAGATTGTATATATGTCAACATTTGATAATGTCAAAAATAGCTGTTATATACATAAGTGTATTTTGCCAAATGCCTAAAGAAAAAGTCATGACTAACATCATCACACTTCAGATTTTCTAATATTACAAGCAGACATCTTTGGAAATTCAGAAAGTACAGAACTGTAACCCTGTGTCTCTCAGAAACTGGTGTTTGACCAAAATCTACGCTATCTTTTCAGTATCTTATACTGTCTTGACAATCTCAATTGTATGGTAGACTGCAGAAACCAGTACAGCAGCACTTGGTCTTAAATCATCGTAAGAGGAACCACCCAAAATCCGTGTTTCACTGAGATGACCAGTGTATGTCTCACAGGTGTAAGCAAGGCTGATTTGGCAGACAGCAGAGACAGAGTCTTTAGTGTGCAGTCCAAACTTACTGTATGTTTGGGAATACTTCTAAGTAGTCAATTCAGGATGTGATGATGTGAAGTCCTTCTGGTGAGAGTCACTGTGTATTTTTAATAGAGAATTTCAGACACTGTTTTAGATGGCGAGGTGTAGCTTATGAGAAGCAAAGTATTTCACTGCACTAGATAATAACAGTGCTGGGCAAGTGGCCAGTTTCATTGCTGTCTTTTATTTGTTACTGGAATCGCCTTTACCTTGTGCTTGAAAGCTATGCTCGCTGCCCATGAAGCCCCCTTGATAAATTTGGGGGGCATTAAACTGAGTACATGTGAGTTTAGCCAGAAAAAATGGGGTGGGGGGAACAAATCCTTTACCATGGAGATTTTAATCTTGTGTATAAGTGGATGGTTAGATTTCCAACACCCTAAAGAGACTTCTAAAGGTTGTTGTAAAACAAATGTCCTTTGATGGGGAATTTTCAGTCAGTAAGAAACTGGACCATGTTGATCAGTTTATAATTCTCCAGCTTTCCAAAATTGACTAATTCTTTGCTTCAGGTAGTACCACTGCAGAACAAAACACACAATTCTGTGTGGTGCCATTGCATACCTTGCCCAACAGCTGTATGATCAATTAGATGTTACTATAATGGGAACATCGAGGGTGTTTCTGAATCTTCTACCTCTTTCATGTGTTTCCTTTAATAAGTGAACCCAACACTTGCAGCCTTTTAATATATTTTTTTAACTTTTAAGTCTCTCAACAAAGTCATATATATGTAAGATTAAATTAAGAAATGTTTAAAGATGTCAGCAACTGTAAAGTATGTAAGATTTTTAAAAGCACTATATTTTATGATTAGGCTGTACGTTGGATTATGACAAAATATTGGCCTTGGCATTCAAATGATTTTCCTTCACAGTTGACAGGTTCTGGTAAGTATTTTGGAGAAAGACAAGTATGAGTGAGCGCAAGTGGATGCAGACAGACCACCTGGAAGGAGCCAGTCAGTTGTAACTGCTTTAGGAAAAGATTCTGCACTTTTGTAGGGAGTAAATATCCATCAGCACTGAAGAATATTTTTCGCAAAGATTTACTTTGATCGTAGGTAACTAACTGGGTTACAGATAGTTGGTAGCATGTAGCTCATGAAATTAGGGCCTGAGCCGCAATCACTTGAAATCAGTGTGTCTTTTACTGATTTCACTGGACTTTTTGAGCAGGACCCTCAAGGAGTTCACCCACAGTAGGACATTATGCTATGCCAACAGCCGTTCTATTACTCTGTCATCTGGAAGCTGTCTTCTCTCCTATGTTAGTATCTTGTCTTCAGTAACTGGACTCTTCATCATGTGCCTTTTATGGTATTTTGTTTGAATACAAACTGGCATGTAATTTTGAATAATCCTGTTAGATTTCTGTGCATACTGTATGTTTACCACTGTTTACTCTTCCCTTTCCATTTTGCCTTATCAAGAAGCAGCAAGATTTGACAGACAGAACTGGATACAACATACTGTCTCTTTGTGTAATGTTCATAGCTTCTCGGTTTGCAAACAAATGGCTCTCCTGACTGTATTTGCAATGTAGTATGTAGTTTAGATTCCCTCTTGTTTAGGTATAATTCATTTGTAGCATATAATGGTCCAGTTATGTGTGTCGTGTAACTTTTAACAGCTAGTTTAAGACTTGGAGATATGTAGTGACTGGAAGTCTAGTTATGAGCACTAAGTTTAAGTTAAATAAATACTGACTTTCACTTTGATGGTCTAGAGCGAGAACATCACAGGACTTGGGTGCTTGCAGACTTCTGCAGGAAATTTTGCATCAGGTTGGTAACGTGGAGACATTGTCGTTGCACAAAACCTGAACTGGCAGGGCTGTGTGGGCCTCCAAAGCTCACAGAGTGGAGGCTGAAGAGAGAAGTCTTTGGCTTACATTCTGTGGTTTTCTACTCTAAAACTTAGTGTGTTGGAAAGCTGCCAGATTAATAAGCTTGAAGATTGCAAGTATTTTTATCCACTGTAGTTATCCACTTGCAATAGCAATAGAAATTTTCGCATAATACCTCATCCAGTCTAAAATATCAGAGTACTTGTATTGTCAGTAAGATAGCTCAGTCACTTTGACTCATTGAGACTCATGCTTTTACTTTGTTTTTATTTTGATTTTAATAAATGAACTAGTTATTGCTAGCTATGCTGTAGATGCCTGTTGAAGTGGGAACGTTACCAGGTCTTCTCAAATGGAAATAATTGTCCACATGAGCATAGGACCTGCAGGATGAGCTGTACTTAAGTTAGTGTTATGTATTTCAACGTGGGAGAAGAATCTTGTGTAATTTAAAATAAAATTAGTATGACTAACTGATGGAGACTGGAAAATAGAGATTGTATCCAAATAATAATGCTGCACAATCATGCCACGGATTAACAAGTAAAAATTTACTTGCTAATTCTGTATTTTTTGAAACAAGAACTTCAGTAATCTATACTATAGACTTTTGGTAAATATACTCAGGCAATATACCAGAAATGGTTGTGATTGATAATTTACACATAGTTTTGTTACATTTAAATAAGTAGTTTTAAGGAGGTCGTTAAATTTATACAGCCTATCTTTGCTTAAGTTGTGAACTTAAGTCACTACCTGCCAGTTACCTGGTAAGTGTGACTTGACTTTGAAGATAGCTACTTCCAAATGCTTTAGAATTCCTGATTTATGACATATTGAACCTGCTAAGCTGATGAACTCACTAGGTAATGAGTGTGCTAATGAACAAATGGGCCTTTGAGCTATAGCCTGAATTAAAATCAGAAAGGAAGTGTGTCAGTAGCTAGTGTACTGAAGTTCTTTAACCTGAATTCCTGTTGCTGGTTTTAAATGAACCAAGTGGTCTTGTCAACACAAATGTGACAACAGCTTTCAAGACCAGAGCTAAGAATGGGTATGTAGACTATTATAGGCATGCCTATACTACAAATTCAAAGTTTTAGTTATTACGCTTATGAATTCATTAATAAATAGGAGAGGATGTAATGTGAAAGAATGATGAGACTCCATTATCTTCTAGGATAGCAGGTTAGCAATGAGGGCTTGCTTTGTCCTTGAATTCCATACCTAGCTGTGGTAAGCAAAATTACCACACTCCAGTGTAAAGCTCCTGTTCTCTTCTCTTCCTTTCCACTACTACCAAAAAGCATTTCCACAAATGACAATTACAACCACTAATAGCCTCTTGTGTTAGTTGGCTAAGATCAAAAAGCTGCTAAATTAGTTATCACCTTTCCCCACAATGTCCTGGATAAGGTTGTTCTAGTGCTGTTAATGCATCTTTTGTTCTTGCTACAGTGGAGGTGATGGAGCCTCGTGTCTTGTGCATTTTGCACTGGTATGCTCGTATTGGCTGGGGTAGAGTTAATTTTTCTTTACAGTAGCTGGTATGGGGCTAGTTTTTGTATTTGTGCTGAAAACAATGTTGGTAACACAGGTATGTTTTAGTTCTTACTGACTGAAGGTCTTTTCTGCTTCTCACCCCACCCCAACAGCAAGTAGGCTGGGGGTGCACAAGAGGTTGGGAGGGAACACAGCCAGGACAGCTGACCCCAACTGGCCCAAGGGATATCCCATACCATCATGCTCAGCGTCATGCTCAGCAATAAAACAAGAGGGAAGGTTGGCAGGGGGAGGCTGCTGCCGGCTAAGTGGCTGGGCTTCACTTGTTTGGTGGTGAGAAATTGTTTTGATTTGCATCACTTGTCTTTCTTAGGTTTTATGTATCTTTGTTATTTCCCTTTTCATTACAATATATTATTATTACTATTATCATTATTTTATTTCTATTATTAAACTGTTCTTCTCTCAACCCGTGATTTTTCTCACTTTTACCCTTCCAATTCTCTTCCCCCATCCTGCCGGTGAAGGGGGAGTGAACGATGTGTGGTGGTGCTTAGTTGCCATCTGGGGTTAAACCATGAGAAGGGGTAAAACCATTTTGTGGCTCAGCCATCTTGTGCCTTTCTCACCATCTGGGACTGGTGAAGGCTAAGCTTCTTTAAACACCCAGTCTGTGAACTCAAAAGTTGTGCTGTGTTCTGTTTCTCTTGCTCTGAGTCTAAAGATCATCTGTTTCTTTCTCTAAGTTATTTGAGTATATGCATCACTAGCAGACTGTTTGGGCACAATGTGAGGTTATTTACCTCATTTTTTAAGAGCTTGAGAATTCTGGTCTTCTCAGAAGCCATTTTTTTTCCCAGAATGGATTATTCATCAGACTGCTGAGCTGATAACCCACTATTTGCATGGTTTCCAAACCATAATGACATTTATCAGCAATATGGGATTTGACTTTAATCAAATTTCCTGAAGACCAATATGAGTAAACTGCACATATGTACAGCTTGTGATCTTGTAACCGCCTGGTGAGGGAACATTCCTGTGTGCACATGCCTGTTATCCTAGTAGAGCAGGAAACAAGGAAATGGTGAAACTGATTTGTGCAGACATAGCTGCAATACAGAGAGGACTCTTTCAAGTGTAGTTTCATCAGAAACAGGAGAGGAACTAATAGTTTCTAACAGTCACCTATGCTAAAAAACTCCATTGACCTGAGTATTTTCCAAGGCAGCTTATGCAAAATATTTCTGGTGCCTGAAGTATGGATGCTGATGGCAACTACAGCTTTATTAACAGTAACTCATACACCCAGCTTGTGCTATCTTGTCATTCCACAAGTTTTCTGCAACTGTTTGAAGAAGCACTTCTACAGGTAACATTCATGTGTTATCTCAACCAAAACAAGCACTAAAAATAAGTGCAGAACACAGAAATGTGGTCCTTTGCTCACACTGAAGAAACTTCAGAATTGGCTCACCTAGCCAGGTGTGGCTGGTTTAGTTCTCTAAAATCCCATCTACACCTGTTTCAAGATCACTTCAGCTAAGCCAGTTTTAAACTCTTCAAGAACTGCTACTTAGGCCATTGTTGCAATATAACTCAAAGTGAGGTAAGGAAGATTGGGGAAAAGCAGCACAGAGCAGTTAAAAAGAAACACATTCTCTAAGGGAGAAGCATGAGAGTCTGTCTTACACTATTTTTAATTACTAGAGCATAAAATGTCAAAGCAACAAGCTTTTGCCTATTTTTTTTTTTTTTGTTTCTGTATTCCTCTGAATAAAAAAATGAAGTTTGGGTTAAAACCAATCATAACACGAGGCCTTAAGACCTTCTATATTCTAACTTTAGCATGGAGAGTCTATTTTTACAACCACATTAGAAATTCTGTGTGTAGGCCTGACTGACCTTGTACATCTAGGTACATCAGCTGCTTGGTGTGAGCAGCTGATCATGCGATGTTGTAAGGCTCTGTAGAACAGCAGATGCTGATTGCTTTTGATTATTGGTACAAGGACTCCTGCTCACTGCCTGTGTAGAGATTCCATGTATTTTATGCTTGGAAATACAGTCCAGAACATACTCAAACTGTGAATATATAACCTGATTTTTCTTTCCTTAAGGATAAATATATATATGAAAATAGGTAGTGTTTTATATAGAATACAGTACATATTTTTATTGTTGCATAAATGCAGAATATTTTTTTCAGAGTAGCAAAGCATTACAGAATTTTTAATCTGCTAGAGAAAACACTATATGAGCAGTTCTTTCAGCAAAGCTTTCAGGGCAGTATATATCCATTGCCTCTGCCAGCTTCATTTTGTGCTGATGTTTAACTTGGGCATTGCTGTAAAAAGAAAACAAATTATTTTTTCACTCGTACTAGCCCTCACTGATTGGTAAAACGCTGAGAGAGGTGATGAGAATCTTGTTTCACCACTGGGGCTGGCTCCTATTGGCAAAAATAACCAACCTACATCGTATTGTTGTCTTTGCTCGTTAAAAAATCCTTAAAAAATCATACCTGATATAGTAGAAACATAAGATTTTGACAAATACCAAAATGAAGCATTGCAATTTACAACTTTCTAGCTTTGAGTGTGGTATTTTTGTCGTCAAACATGACAGGCATTGGGCTATTGAAGTGAATGAATCTGGCTTTCATGTAGCTAACCAAAACGTTGCTTTTTATAAAATCAAATCATTGTAATTCGGGGTTCTAAATTCCTGCTCACTTTTAATAACAGCATCACGGTATCCACTTCCATAAGAGTATTTAATACAAATGCCTGTGGTTTTCAATGTTACTGACATACTGTAACACCAGTAAAATGACTTTCAATGACAAAGAAAGACTGTTGTGTGTACTTTGTTCTCATTAAGTCCTTACATTTTAGCACTTCCTGCTTTACAGGTCTCTGTAAGAGAAAAAAGATGCTGCATGCATGGGGGGACGGAAAAAAAGTCTACTGGCTAATAACAGAATACAGATGTTATTTTTCATTTCAGGGTTGAAAATGATCATGTGAGCTTCTCAGTCTTTGTTTTAGGGTCCTGCTGGTCTCAAGGCAGATCTACAGTTACTGTTCCTCAGGTTTGCATGTCTGAGGGCAACCTAGAAAGAATATCAACATTGTAAACTACACCCAGTTTGCACAAAGGTCAGGAGCAGCCACCCCACATGGTATTGTTATTGTGTAAACATCCTTCCCAGTGTGCCCTGTGGGAAAGAGAAACCCTTGGTTCAAAGTTACAGATAACTATTTCCCTAAAGCAGGTAACCAGCATATTCTAATTGTCCATAGAATCTACTCTTAATAGGGAAGCTTTTTTTGTTTTGCTAGGTGACAGAAAATTCTGTTGTCACTCCTTAGCAAAAAAAAAGTGCAGACCAAAGAAAATCAGCTTAATAAATGAAAAACGGTGTGTGTGTGGGGAAGCCATGCAGACACTCACTCACCACCTCCCAGCCCCAGAGTAATGCACAACCAGTCCTCACGCAACAGCTGCTTTGGAGAGACCTACCCCTGCCCAAAGTTTAGTGCTGAGCACAACTTTACATGGTGTGGAATATCCCTTTGGTCACTCACATCAGCTGTCCTCACCCTGTTCCCTCCCAGCCTCTTGCCCACCCTCAGCCTGCTCACCATGGTCACAGAGTAAGAAACTGAGAAGACCCTGATGCTGTGCAAGCGCTGCTCAGCAACAGCTGAACCCCTGGTGTGTTATCCCTGCTGCTTTAGTAACACATCTAAAGCACAGCAGCCTATGGGCTGATGTAAAGAAAATTAACTCCATTCCAGATAAATCCAGTACAGGACCAGAAACGCAAATGGGTAAAATGAAAGTTTTGTCGGTAAAAAGCATTTCAGTAAAGATGTCTCATAATTTTTAGGGCAAAGTTAACAGTGTAAGGATGAATACTGTATTTATGCAAAATCGCCTAATCAAACCCCTACAGGAAGAACAGCCTTTGCTTTGTACTCTTACTAACCTTGTCAGCTGTCAAAGTTTTGAACTGCAGCAGAACTGATGCTCACTCAGACAAACCTTTATGGACTTTGGTCATTGTGTTAGAAATGCTTTGTGCAGCATTCCATTCCCAGCTTCATGTGCAACAAGACAACGTACAATTATCAGAATGGGGAAGTATAATCACATCTATGCCTTTAAAATGAATTCCTGAGGGCAGAAAGAGAACTAGCTTCTGAAGTGAAAATAGAATATCCAAGTAGTACGTACCAGTTGTTTCTTTAGATGAGAGACCAGCCTGCTTGGCATTTATAGCCCAGGAACTAGAGACCTGGATTTTACAGTAGTATTAGCAAGTTAGGGTACAAAACAGTATCTTCAATCAAGATTTCTGCTCTGACAATCATTTCTGTTGTTTGCCCAGTGACAGCTATACATACATATCTATATAAAAGGACACATGTATAGCTTTGCTTTCATTCCTTAGTACAAAGGATCCTCCTCAAAAGTGCTCTAAACCACTAATATGAGAAATATACTCCTTTTAACATCCTTTGCATTGGCAAGGTTAGCAAAAGAACATCTATCAGTCCTCTGTGGTATGCAGAAGTGACCTAAATTACCAAAAGTTTCATTAGCTTACTTCATTGGAAAAAAGTCTGAACTACGTCCATACAGTTGTGTTGCTCCCTTGCTCCCTCTTCCCATACTATGTCAATCTTCCCCTCAAGAAAAAACCCCCCAAACCGTGACCAAAAATCCTCACCAAACACCTTTTTTTTCCCCCTGAAAAAAAGTCAAAAAAAGTCTTGCCTTTCTGCATCTGCTTTCATGTGAATTCTGCAGCACTGTGGTCACTGCCATGATCTGAAATGGTCACCTAGAAAGAATTTTTCAAAGTGGGTTCTGGCCACTGTGTGTTGGCATCCAGAGGCAGGAAGGCTGCTTGTTAGAATTTAAAGTGCAGGAGACAGAAACATCAATTTACATGTAACTGAAGCCTGTCAGCTTAGAAGTTCATTGATCAAGGGAAAGTTAAAGTATAAACTGACACAGCATAGTTTTTGTAAGTTTAAAAGTGTTTTATATAGTGACACAAACAGAGCAAGAATCTTACTGGAGCAAAAGCCCCCTGTGCAAGAGCACACTGCCAGGTGAGTTCTCTGCTGTGCTTTGTCGCACCCCTGCTAATGAGAAGTTCTATCAGGTAATCTTGTGCTCAGCGCATGTTGTCACAGACTTCATCTTGAAGATAGCTAGCTGTCAGAATAAGGAACTTAAACTTACTGATGTTCTAACAGACCAGCCTAAAATGACCATTCCAAAAGCTCTTTCAGTTCATACACCTGTCTTATGCTGTCAAAGAGAAAAGAATATGTATAATCTTATGTCATACACGATACTGTTTAAGACAGAAAAAGGCAAGCTGCACTCCAGGAACTGGTTTTAGTGCACCACAGGAATAAAGTAAACACATTACAAGAAAATCTTACTATCTGCATAATTTGAGCTATACATACTGAATTGCAAGTTTATGAGAATAAAAACATCTTTAATAGTTACAGTTAGAAGTTAGAGACAGTATTACATGAGTAATTTATAGTCACTCTAAAAACTCAAAAAAACCAACCAAGTGTGCAAAGTGATACCTTCATAAAAATATGTAATTTCCATTATTGCGATACACAATCATTGGAAGATTTGGCAAAGCAAAACACAAACTGGAATGTTAATCATGATCATCCACGGCTTGCTTCCTTTTGATTTAGATGCTCATAACACACTGTATGAACTGAAAAAGAATAACCACTTATTAGATATATGGTAGACAAGAAGTTTTCATTTTTTCCCCTAAAATACTCATTGTCACTGCTCTTTTCTGTAAACAAATTCAGCCCATGAACAACAAAGCTTTGAAACTAAATATGAAAATTAGCTAACAGTTAATTAAACCAAGTTAATCTCCTTAATAACCAAAACAAAATCCCCAGGAATACTTGAACCTAGTGTTCTCCTTTTCCTGCACAGATGCAGCCAGGAAGCCAAGACTAACTGAATGTGATTTGTGTCTTGCCCATCCCCACCTTTTCCAACTTTTTCTAGGGAAAAATGCCTACCAAGCTTTGAAACAAAGAAAGAAAAAAAACATCCCAGAAAGTGGTATGAGCAAGTGATGTGAGCGAGTGATGTAGCTTCTTAGATCTTGAGCCACACTGGTAAGAAGTCCAGGCAAAAACGCTCGTTTTACAGAACTCTATAAAATACGTGAAAATTTTCTGAGACAATACTCAAGAAAACCCAGAACCTTTGTGCTCTCAGGTAACACCAGAAGCATAGGGAAGACATGAATAAACTCAAATTATTACTGCTTTTCTTCAGTTTTAAGTTTTTCTTTAGTTTTACCCTGTAATCAAAACTGCTTTTTTAAAGTTCACTTACATCATCATACTGGAAGTTCACAAAGCCCTGCTGAGATACATCCCTTCTTCTAAAGCATTCTGCAAAAAATACATTAAGAAAATAGAAACCACGTTAAGAATAATTAGTTATTTTTTTTTAAATGGATAGTACTTTCATAAAATTGCCAAGTCACATGAATGAGAACTCATGAAGAACACTACAATTCATTCCAGAACTTAATCTCCTGTTCTTGTCATCTTTATCATATGCAAGCCTTCATGTTCTGTTAACAAATACAGTTTCCCAACTTTGATAACATAACTCTTCGAGAGTCTGGAATAAACCCTGCATTAGTTTTAAGTCCATTTTTCAATGGGGAATCAAGAAAATCATAATCTGTAATTGTTCCAGTTCTGTCTGTAAATTCTCTTGAAATAAACCTATTTTGTGCTATGTAAAAGTTAAAAAGTTGAACTTGAGATAAGTGAGTAATCAGATTTTATTAAATAAAAATATCTCATAGGGATGGTAGTAACAAGGCTATAATCCAGCATACCAGTGAGAGCTCTGAGTTTCACACAGCAGGCAACATAATCATCAAACGTAATCTTGCCATGAGTGCTGTATCGCCTTGTGATCGCGGTCACTGCCTGCGGGCTCAGTCTGAACCCTATTTGAGAATAAAAAGTCTAGTTTGAAAAGACAGGTTAAGTTAACAGAACCCAACACATTTTTAACTGGAAATGTGTGTCAGTTACTGCAGGACGGTAACTGGTACTAGGAAATGCTCTCATTCAGCATCAGAAACAAGAATATTTCAAACCTTACCCATAGTCATCAAGGCTTTCTCCAGCTCTTGGCGATCCACTGTACCACTTCTATCATTGTCAAAACTTACAAAGTGTTGCTTCCAGCCATTGACCACAGCCCAAAGTTCTTTAAACTCATTAAATCCCAGTGTGCCAGACATATCCCTCTGATTCCAAAGCTAAGAAAAACATTTCTTAACTTAAAACATTTTTTAAAAGTCCTCTCTTGAATGGAAATGTGTATTTTTTATCATCTGTAGTCTTTTTTTTATGGAGGTCAATATTAACAATGTTTTACTGTAATTATTTTTTCTAGTAGAAAACCAACTAGAGCAACCCACAACACAGACAGAGATAATACTTCCAACCAAACCCAAAGGTCAGAGAACTTGCTCTCCCCACTTCTTCCCAGTGAAACCTGATAAACTTGCTCTTTGTGAATTTAACTTAGTTCACACGCTTTTCTTTTACCTGCCAGTGTTACTGTTACCAATGTAATACATATCTGAAATAAAAATAGATACCAAAGGAAAAAGTAAGTCTCTTGCATTCTGCACTGTTTGTTCAAGGTGAGCTAACAGCCCTTCCAGTTTCATTTCTGCTTTTTAATTTTGACTAAAAACTGCTCCAAAGATTCCAGCCTTGCACAGTGTATGCCAGTCTTTCATAGGTCCTACTGCTGAATGCCATACACCATCCCATTAGATACTGACACCTGATTCATTCCAGGCACAGGATTTAGAGGGACTTAGATTATATTCAGGCTGGCTAGTACAAATGGTGAATTCCTCAGCGAAGATTAGAATGTTGTCTGACTTGAAAAGCAAAATGAGCTATTTTGCACAAAACTCTATTCTGGGCTGCCAGACCTGACTCTTCCTACATTCAGTGGAGAAACAGTCCCCTGGACTTAAGAGAGATACTAGACTTAGAGGGATACTACTTGTGTGAAGAATATCAGTCGCTGAGGGCCTCCTTTATTATTATTCCATCCTGTAAAATAAGTAAGAATAGAATTTTGTAGCTCCCCAATCATAATGATCGTAATTATCATGTAAGGGCTGAATAGGAATTACAAAGCATTTCCCAAATTTCTGGCACCCTCTCACCTTTGCTTACATAATGCAAAAATGTTTACATTTTGTAGTAAAGGATACATCCAGCATTGAGATCATAAGTCTGCAAGTCTCTAAGTTGAAAGCTGTTTAAATTAGACAAGAAAAAAACCAAATTGCATTAAAACAATGATTTTTCAACTTTGTCTAAACATAACATTTTAAATTGTTTTTTTATCATATACTGATTATATATTATAATGTGTAGAATATTATATAATTGCTTCCACTGCATAGAGTCATACCATAATTTGATCCAAATAAGAGCTTTTCAAGAATACTTCTTAGAAAAACTGACAGCAGACAACCTGCAGGCAATTCACAGTATATTTAAAATTAATATGCTCTTATCTCAATCCATAAAGGTTTTGGGTTTCAGTAAAAGTGGTCATTTATATTTCACCATAGACACCACTTGAGCAAGCCAGTTTTACTCACAGAAGCTCCATTTTCTAAATTGAACATGACATATCCTGACAGAGAGTCATGCCACAGAAATTCTTGTTTTTAAACTGAGCTTTGATATTGACCGAAGCAAAACACTTTTTAAAGAACTGGCTGTCTATTACAAAATAAAACACTTCCCCAACTTCACAGCTCAGCAGTGGGTAGGAAAATAAGGCGACTGAAAAGGGAAGTCCTACACATAGAGAACTGAATACAGAGGATTTACATTCCATACGGAAAGCAAGCCCATGTTCCATGCAAATAAAAAAATCCCCCAACACTCTGCAGAAGAGACAACTACAAGTGTTTTCTAGTAGATGTCAGAAGAATTAGTATGCTTTAGGGTTGGGATTTTTTTAATTTAAATCATTAACTTACGTTTATATGCTCCTGCAATCCCTGACTGGGTGAGACATCTCTGTAGCTCATCAGCATCTATTTGTCCATCCTTTCGATAACAGAAGATGTATCAGCTATTGTTTTAATTCCCTCTCCCAGGCTGGTTATTCCCAGTACCCACTCCCTGTTCAGTGGCAGTTAGTTACCTTTTCAAAACCCATATGACAGAAACTGCCTTTTATAACCCATTATCTGTAACGATGTTTTTTCAGTTGATACTTTTGCAATATGCATTAGTTTTCCCATCTAGGGATGTACTACAAAATTAACAGGATTGGCAGGTTTGCTCTAAACTTTACTTAAAAAAACCCACAAACAACCCAAACCAACAAATCCACCTCAAATATCAGTAGCATATACTTGAGAGCCAGCTGCACAGAAACCAAGGCACACAATTTTGAAAAAAAAAAGAAGACAGCTTTCCTTAAAGTACTAATTTAACTTAGTGGGTATTGCAGTCACCTTAGGTTATACATTTATGACCTCACTTCTACAGTACGAAACTGGCAACCCAGATTACACATACTCTCTTCTCAAGACTTACGACTTACACATCTAAACCCCCCTGTTTTTTGGTGAATAGTAAGTTGTTAGCAGAACAAACAAAAGCAGAAAGCAAAGAACTTTGAAAGAAAAAACAAACAAACTCAGGAAAGGTACCTATCTGCATGGTTTGGACAATGACTCACTGCCAACACATCCTGCTCAGGGACAAGTAGAGGAAACTGCCAACTCATGGAAAGCAGTGAGCTGTCAAAAGCAGACCTGGAATTACAGGTCACGTTCCTCACACACCCAACATGAAGTTCAGTTCACAGAGAGTTTAATATAGTTTGACCTCATTCAAGGATGGAACATTGTAGATCTAAAATACGTCACTTTTGTAAAGCATTAAATAGTGAAAAGAGAGTTGCTTTATATTCAAAACAGATTTATTTGCCTCAGCATCTTCCTAATGTTTTAAATCCAGCAAGCATTTTTTTTCTTCCATTTTGTTTAGTAACAAGGACATGCTACTAAATGGCACAATGGGAATGGCACAGACAGGTAACTTTCAGAAATGAAGTATCATTACTTATAGGACTAGTAGTAGTTAATGTCAAATTATATTTGACAAGGCCTGAAAAAAAGAGCAATAATTATTTGATTCCATGTAAAATTAGTGGCAGCAAATTCCAAAATTGATTCAAATCTACTCCTGCAGTTTAACAATATAAATGTATTTAAAACTTTACTTTCATGGGCGGGGTCAGGGGGGGAAGAAATTTGAAATAGCCATGCATATTAAGCAGCAAATCTCTTCAAAGTCCTTGTGCCTTCTGAAACAAATGCAGGATCTTCAGAAGAAGCAGGAAGAAAAGCAGGATTGTAATCATGATTACTATTACAAGAAAATATTCTTGGCCTTTTTTCTTTTCTTAAAGTAGAACTTATGCAGTTAAATTAGACAAGGTACAGGGGTTTTGAAAACAGACTGAGAAAAGAAAATTATTACTTCCTACAAAGCCCGACTCAAAGACTTGAAACAGTATTTCTTTCTTCTGTGAACAGACGAAACTAATTCCTCAAATCTAAGATGAGATCTCTGCTGTAAACTACATCAAAGCAAACTCAGAGAGAACATATAGTATATAGGCATAAAACCAACACAGAGCACCAAACCATAACCAAAACTTTTATTAATTCCACAGTAAGAAAATACGGAAAAATTGCAAGATGTGGCTTTTTTTTTTTTTTTTTTTTACAGACATGCTTGGATGGCTGTAAAATCAACTGATAATTTACCTGTTCTATTTCACTGTCTCCCAATAGTATTTTTATTTCTGCACAGTCACAGGTCTCTGAAACTGACTCTTCTATGTTCCAAGGATAACATTTCAAAAGCTACCCAGGTTATTTCAATAATGAATGATTTCTACAAATAGAAGGCATTTAAGAGTATTAACTTAAGTACTAAGTGCAACTTGACCATACCCATTAGCTCACCGTTTCCCCAGCTTTCAGTAATCCTGCCTCATTGGAGAAGCCTGGGGATGGTCTATGCTTTGCTGAGGTCAAGCTCCTGCCATCTCTTCTCCAGATTACTGTATCCTGTTTGCTATTACCTCCCTTTCTCTTTGCATTAGGAGCTTACTCATTTTTCCAGCATCAGTCACTGGCTCCACTGCTGATTCTTGTCTCACATCCAGGTGCAGAGGCACCTCAGCTGGCAGGTAAATGGTCAGCATGTTCAGCAGAATTTAGCCTGGGCTCTACCTTATCTGAGAGGCCTGCCTCACTACACATAGGTCATTCCAGTGTTCTCCTTCACTACAAAAATACATGGTCTACATATTTTCATAAGCAATGTTAGAGAAGTAATATATAGACTGTAAGATACATTACTAATTCAAAAGAATAACATAGAGAACCCAAAATACAACCTTAAACTGGGAATTTAAGCATCAGCTAATGTTTCTGCATGCAAATTTCCATGTTGTGGTTACATCTACCTGTGGATAACAGATCCAGGAGCAGAGTTTTAGATTTTCACACACCCTAGGAAGGAGCATTAAATAGCTATACATATGGCCAACCAAGACAGCTTATCTCAGTGCACCTATTTGCATCTAAGTTACAGTCCAGGAACTACTTATTTCTAGTAACATCCATAATCATACAAAACAAATATATGCCACAAAAATACAGGAAATAAACTAAAAATGGAGTGCAGAATGACAGGGGGGAAAAAAGAAAGGCCTAAATCAAAGCTGTGAATGCCTTTTCTTCTAGAAGAACAATCACTCTATCTTCCCAGCAAACCCAGATATTGGCACAACTGAAGACTGCTTTTCCATTTATGAGTCTACTAAGATTATGTCATGATCTCTTTCTTATTAACATTTCCTGCTCTTAGCCAGGCCACCTCCACAAGCCATGCTTGCCATTGTTTCTGGCTTCCTTCTCCTGAAGCTGGCAGCATTCCCCAACCCTGAGCTGAGCCATAATTCAGTTACAACATTTCATGTAACTATACAGGCCCTGTATATACTTATGTAGGAAATACAGTGAATACATGCATACATGTATGTGTATATGTGTATGCATTTACACACAGACACACACTATATATAAACTAAGAGAATTATTTAAACTGTATAGTTACTGTGTATATAGCTATAGGGTCTAGCTATACAGCTCTATGTAGCAGACAGACTAAGTAAAACCATTCTGTTAGTTTAAGAAAAACCAACCCCAAACAACCTGAAACAACAGTTTCCCTCACTGCAAATACTAGGAATTCCTCCTGCCAAAAGCTAGTGTAGAAATCATTCCCCAGAAAAAAAAGAAAACAAACCAATAAATAAATAATATTTTATAAGTTTACCTGCCCTGCTACTGCAGCAAAATAACCATACAAAGGATCCTGAGCTTGTTCAGGGAATGCTGGTCCTCCTGGAGCACCTCCATACTTTAGAAATCAAGAAGAAAATTAACTTTAAATCAATGATTTGGTTAACTCAATTAATAAACTGCAGTGTTTGTACTTAAGAATCAACTTGTGTTTTTACATACACGCCGTTCAAGACAGTCAAACCAACCAAAAAAATTCTTTAACTTGGTATTGATATACACATTTATAATAATTTAAGCAGATCAGTAAAACCTTGCACAGGAGCAATCCACTGATTCAGGTGCAGTATGCTGTATCTCATCAGGGTTGAATTTTAGTCTACTACTTGCAGAAAAAGGGATACCAAAGATAAGACTAGTAAGGCACTAGCGATTTTTGTTTCCACTCCAAAAAAGTTGAGCAAGACTGATCGGTAAGGAAAATACTTGGAAGAACATACATTAAGCATGGAAAAATTTAAAGGAAATCGAGTCATGGAATGATTTAAGGCAGTCCTGTTTGACTGAGTTGAACCAATAGTCTGTGTGTAACAGCACCTATACCCATCCTTGCTGAGCCAAAAATATGCCTCTTCTGGACAGTAGGAGCTGGAGCAGGCGTACCTTGCTCCTCACCACCACTCAGCTATTTATCAGCCCCATGAAGTGAAGACATTTTCACAGCATCATAGAACAGCCTGGGTTGGAAGGGACCTTCAGAGGTCATCTAGTCCAACTCCCCTGCAATGAGCAGGGACATGCTCAAGTAGATCCGGTTGCCCACAACCACATCCAGCCTGGCCTTCAATGTCTCTGGCGATGGCGAATCCACCACCTCTCTGGGTAACCTGTGCCAGTGTTTTACCACCATCGTAAAAAATTCTTTCCTCACATCCAGCCTGAATCTCCCCTCTTTGAGTTTAAAACCATCACCCCATCTCCTATCACAACAGGCCCTGCTAAAAAGTCTCTCCCCATCTTATAGGCCCTTTTTAAGCACTGAAAGGCCACAATAAGGTCTCCCTGGAGTTTTCCCTTCTCCAGGCTGAACAACCCCTACTCTCTTAGCCTTTCCTTATAGGAGAAGTGCTCCATTCCTCTGATCATTTGTATGCCCCCCCCCCCTCCGGACCCACTCCAACAGGTCCGTTATCCTTATACCATTCTAAATCTACCCTCTTTCAGTTTTAAACCATTGCCCCTTGTCCTGTCACTACTGGCCTTGGTAAAATGTCTTTCTCTCCATCTTTCTTATAAACCCCCTTAAGGTACTGGAAGGCTGTTATAAGGGCTCCACAGAGCTTTCCCTTCTCCAGGCTGAACAACCCCTACTCTCTTAGCCTTTCCTTATAGGAGAAGTGCTCCATTCCTCTGATCATTTGTATGCCCCCCCCCCTCCGGACCCACTCCAACAGGTCCGTTATTTTTCCTGTGCTGAGAATTCCAGACCTTTACACAACGTATTAGGCACAAGCCCTCCTTCGGGGGTTCCCGCTGGGAGCCGACTCGAGGAGTGACACCGCCAGAAGTGACC